AGCAGCAGGGAAATAGCAGCGTCTGTTTCTGCGGGAGCTCTGCATGGAGTCGTTATGGCAACTGCGCCGGCAGGAGCCCCGGCCGCTTCTCCGCGGGGGCTGCCGGCAAGGAGATGGACCCCGCTCACTCCCCGGGGCTACGGGGGCAGGCAGGGCACTGTCGGGGGAGCGAAGCGCGAGGGGCCGGTTGGCAGGGTCGGGGGATGCAGGCTGGGGGTGGCGGGCCGCAGGCGAGTAGTGCCGTCTCGTCCCAGGCCTGGGGTGGGGGGGGGGGGGGAGGGGGGGGCAGCCCGGTACCGGCGGAGGAGCGTGGCCCAGCGGCTGCCGGTCGGGGGTGCTGCGAGAACTGTGAGCCCTGGGGACCGGCCTTTCCCGGGGGTCCCTCCGCTCCTGCGGCCGGAGAGAGGGGGGCAGAGCCCGCTGGGAGAGCGGCGGGGCCGGGCAGTGGGGGGTCTGGCGGGACCGGGGGGGGCGGCGCCGTCTCTCACCGGCAGCGGCGGGTCCCGGCGGGTCCCGGCTCCGCGTGGTGCTGAACGGACAGCGCCGCCGCGCTGCGCATGCGCGGGGCCGCCCGCCGGGGGCAGGGCCAGGCGCTGGGGACCGGGAAACTGGGGCAGCCGGTGTGCGCCGGGGAACCGGGGTAGTCGCGGGGCTGGAGCAACCGGTGTGCGCTGGGGAGCGGGGATAACTGGGGATCTGGGACAGGTGGTGTGCCCGGGGGAGCTGGCGCACAGGGGCCGGTGTCAGCGCCGCACCGCGCCGCTGGGAGCAGCCTGCGGGAACCGCGGGGGCACCAGCGGGGCCTGTGGCCGCCGGGCCCCGCCTGCAGCGCCAGAGCAGATTTCCTCCGCCCGGCGCCCCGGCCCGGCCCGGCAGGGCCTGAGGGCTGCCGTTGTCCGGGGGCCGCTGGCGCCTCCCGGCCGGGCCCCGGCAACCCGCGCGCTGCCGCCGGGGCGAGGTAAGGGGGCGTGGCCGAGGGGGCGCGCGCACTTCCGCCCGCCGGCGTGACGTCGCCCCTGGACGCCGGCGTCGGGGGCGGGGCGAGGCGCAGCCGTATGGAGCGGCGGGGAGATCCCCGGTGGGACCGCAGGTACCGGGCAGGGCTGCCGCCTCGCCACGGGGCCCTGCGACCGGGCGGGGGCGCGTGTGCAGGCCCCGGCGGGGCTCCCACGGCCCCCTCGCCGCGGCGGCGGGACAGCCCGGGAGCCGGGCCCGGGGGCGGCTCTGGGGCCGAGCGGGATCCCGTGGGGTGGCGGGGGAGGGATGAGCGCGGGCGAGGCCCACCCCCGGGTGCGGGTTTCTGCTGGGACCGAGTCTAACCGTAGCCTATGGCCGCAGCTCGGGAGGCTCCGGGCTGCCGGGACCTTTCGGCTCCTGCCCTTCCCCTCGGCGCCCTCGATCGCGGCCTCGATGCCGTGTCCCGCTCCTCAGAGGGAGCCCTCTCTGGGGGGACCCCGGGAGCCTTCTTGCTCCCTATGGGAAGGAGCAAGTGCCTGCCCTCTCCCCCTCACAAGGTGCCTGAGTGGCTCGGCACTGAATGCAGGGGGCTAGTTGCCAGGTGAAGCGATGCTTAGACGTGAAGGCTAGGCACAGCTACTGTGTGGGCGGAGTAGTAACGCTGCAGCAGTCGCTGCTTCCCCGAGGGACAGGGACTCCTTAAGCGCTTGGTGGAAAGCCCCACCCGAGCTCTCCTGGAGGGCAGTGCGGGCAGGTGGACTCGGATGCCTAAGCAGTGAACGTCCCGGGCTGGGGAGGAGGTGACGCAGGTGGCAGGTGTGTGCCCTGCTGATGGCTGGCCGAGGGGATTTACCCTGTGGGCTGACTGTGGAAGACATCGCTGAATCTTTCTTTCTGGCTGTTCTTCCTAGAGCCACCCGGCAGTAGGTGTGAGGTGGTCTTGCCTGGCTCCCACCGTAGCCTGGCTCCCTGGCATCTGATGATGAGTTTGACCCCCTCCAGGGGATGCCTCCTGGACCTGCCCTGGGAAGACATCTTGGTTCCACATATCCTCTGTCATCTGCCACTGCAGCAGCTCCTGAGCCTACAGAGGGTCAGCAAGTCGTTCCAGTCTCTCATCCAGCTGTACCTGGCCAACATGCGCTGCTTTGACTCAAGCCAGGTATTGGATGACCCTGAGGCTGGGGGAGACACAGATGTCCTACTGTTCTGGAGCCAAGAGGGGAGCATCTGACTGTGTGGGGAGAAGAAACCTCTGGCAAGGAAGCTGGTTTCTGCTCAGGAGCTTGGATTAATGGCATGGGTGTCAGACTGGACAGATGGGCTCAGGAAGGAGAGGCAGTGATTCAGGGCCCAACAATGCCAGTGTCTTTAGCAAGAGGCCCTGGGAGGAGTGAGCCTGGAAGCTCCACCCAGGTCATTATGGGACACTGGCTGGCAGAAACAAGCTGGCTTCAGATTGGCATGGCCTGTCAGACTTCGCAGAGATTGTGCAATAGGGTGGGTCTGACAGGAGATAACACTTGTGCCTGGTCTTCAGGGAAAGCCTATGCTGGCCCTGGGAGACACTGCCTAAGACTTGGAAAGACAGGAGTAGCTGCTGTTCTATGAGGACATGGGGTGGTCTAGCAAAGAGTTTTTGGAGAGCAGAGATGTGGAGCTCATCGTGAAGATATAAATGCAGGAGTGATGATGGGGGATGGAGGAGCCAAAGCATCTTCTAGCTTATGGCAGTAGCCTTGGCATGAGGGGAGGAGAAGCTGACAGCAGGCTTTGCCCTGGGGTGAAGTGAGGGGGTGGATTTGGTCACCACTGTCACAGCGTAAGAGAGGAGGGGGAGAGTGTTTGGTGAGGATCAGGCTGATCTGAAACCCTGGGAGGATGCCTCATTCTTCCTGGGTTCCCCACGCAGATCGGACCTGCCATCCCTCGAGCTGCTTTTGTTAACCTGCTGAAGGACAACGAAGTGCTGCAGCAACTGGCGCTCCAGAACTGCTCCGACTGGCTGACAGACAGGGAACTGCTCCCGGTCATCGGGCAGAACCACCACCTGCACCAGATCCAGCTGAAGGGCTGTGCCCAGCTCAGCCGCCACGCGCTGGTGGCCATCTCGCTGAGCTGCCCCAACCTGCGCCGGCTCTCCCTGGCTCACTGCGAGTGGGTGGACAGCCTGTCCCTGCGCAGCCTGGCTGACCACTGCAAGGGGCTGGAGGCTGTGGACCTGACAGCCTGTCGCCAGCTGAAGGATGAGGCCATCTGCTACCTGGTGCAGAAGTGCAGCAGGCTCAAGTCTCTGTCGCTGGCTGTCAATGCCAACGTGGGTGACGTGGCAGTCGAGGAGATTGCTAAGTGCTGCCCCGAGCTGGAGCACCTGGACCTCACAGGGTGTCTGCGAGTCAAGAATGACTCCATCAGGTACTGAGCAATGTGGGGAGCCGGGGTGGGGATGGCGGGTGTCTGGGGTGGGGAGAGGAAGAGAAGCAGAGAAAAGTCCGATTTCTTCACGCTGAAAGCAGCAAGAGCTCAGTCTGGGGAAGAAGCCACTAGCAGGCCCTTCAGGAGAGGCACTGTGTGCTACTAACAGCAAATTTTCCAGCACGTCATGGAGGTTAGGTCTAGTATCTGATCATGTCCCTCGAGTTTCTCTCAGACCACCAAGGTGCTGCTTCCAAAGGATGGTGCACGTGCAGCACAGCTGTGAGTGCCGGGCTGCTGGGAGTAGAGAAGAGGATGAGTGGTGCACTTAGGAGTCCTGGCTTGCAACCTGCATGTGCTCTCTTTCTTGGCAGGGTCCTGGCTGAGTATTGTCCCAAGCTGCGCTCGCTGAAGGTGAAGCATTGCCACAATGTGGCCGAGTCCAGCCTGAGCATCCTCCGAAGCCGTGGGGTGGAGTTGGATGTGGAGCCTCCGCTGCAGAGGGCTCTTGTTCTTCTGCAGGATGTGGTTGGCTTTGCCCCTTTCATCAACCTCCAGATCTAGAACTGCTGCTGCTGGGGAGGGGGGGACTGACATGACACTGGGATCCCGGGAGGATGCCGGAACCGGCTGCTGTGGAGACGTGCGGAGGGAGAGGTTGATCCTGTTGGTGAGGCTGGCCTGAGTGGGACTCACTCTTTCCTCTGGGGCTGTTTAGCAGCCACTGGGTGTTTGTGAGTGGGTTTCACTGGTGCCTCTGGGGAAAGTAACTCCCTCTGCAGTGGTGTGGAGAGAGCGAGTGACTTGCAGGAACACCATGGTGCTGAACAGGCCTTGGCCAGGCCAGCTAATAGATAAGATTTATTATTTGTTGTATTTTAAATCTCTAAGCAGCAGCTGTCCAGAGAGCAGGAGAGTTTGATGGGGACTGTCCCCTGGGGTGGGTATGCAGGGCATGCCAGCAGAATTGTGGAACAAACCAGGCCAGCTGGAGCAGAAACAAAAGCTGCCAGCCCTCCTCTTAGGAGAGGGCAGGCCCCTCTGTGCTCTGAGAGGAGGGCAGTGAGCCCAGCTCCAGCCTGCAGACACTGGCCAGCCTGGCACCATAGGGCTGGCATGGCCCTGGTGCGGGCAGTGTTTATGTCCAGTCCTTGGGTGCTGGTTTAGGCTGTTGCAAGGTGGGAGTTGTTTTCAGGAGGAGCACACTTCTAACTGCAGTTTCACTGACAGAGGACCACCAAACCTAGTTGTGCTGTCACTGAAAGCAGTTGGTTGTTGTCATTTGTTTCTTCCACCTTCTGACATAACATTTCAGTAGTGTCCAGGCCTGCTACTACATCCTGCTGTGTGTTGTGTGGCTGGAGCTTTGGCACTCAACAGTGGTGAGAAATGGCAGGAGCCCTGGCCATGCTGTCAGCTGGCGTTTGTGGAGGTTGTGTTGGCAGAAAGAGCCTAGCTCAGTGTCAGCCCTTGTTTCTGCTAGGTGGTTAACCAAACAGCAGCCACATCTTGTGGTGAATGTGATGAAGAGAGTAATTAGGGGAAGAGACAATGACCCTGCTCCTATCTTTGGCCCCAGGATGGACTGGAGGTGGTGTCTGTAAAGCATATGCATGCTCTGGCTGAACTGCACACCAACTCGTATCATCTTTATTAACACTGGCACTCAATTTAAAGCAACAGTGCACACAGACTTGTAAAAAGCTTGCTGCAAAAGCACAAGCCACATCTTTGATCTAAAAATGTCCCATGCAAGGAATAGCAGAGAATGCCCAGGCCCTGGAGAGCCACTATGGTGTGCCCCTGGGCGCAGAGGGACAGCTACACAAGGGGAGAAGTATCCTCCTTGTCAGCTGGGTTAGTCAAGGAAGCTGAAAGCAGTGTCCTGGCTCCCATGTTAGTTCCAGTTAGTGGCAGGTGGAGGAGTCCCCTCATCTCTAGTTGCCACATGTCCATCCTGCCATGCCTGGCCAGCAAGGTGGTGGCTGAAGAACAGGAGGACCTGGCTGTCAGTGGAACTTATACTTCCTGGCTGGTTTGAGGCTGATGTAGGTTCTCTTCATCTCCTCGCTCTCAGGCTTCTTGATGTCTTTGTACCTCTCTCCCTTTGTACTCACCACCTGGTTATCGATATAGCGGATCAACTTCTTGGGAGCCTGGAGAGGAAATATATTAACACCAAGTGGATGGACAGCCACACTGCTAGGGAGAGGCAACAAGCCGAAGCAGAGCTGTGCTCTGGGGGGTGGGTACAGGAAGACTAGGGTGGGCTGCTTTACCCATCCTTTGTGTTGGAAATCTTGGCCAAAACTGGGAAGGAAGCTGTCTGATGGGGTGAAGCAGGATCCAGGCTAGTCAGGAACGGTAGGAACTGGAAGACCCTGAAGTACCTTAGCTAAGCTGATCTTCCCTCTTTGCTGACTAGCAGGCTCTGTGACTGGTCCTGCCTTAGGCCTGCCCCATTGCTTTTTGGACTTGCAGCCTGATTTTTAAACCTTGTAGCCAAAGGAGCTGGGACTGCTTCTCTTACCTCTTTGGGTGGAGCTGGCCGATGTGTTTTCTGATCCTCTGCACTATCCACCATCATGTATCTGAAATACAAGAAGCACTTAGTAACGCTGTAACATGCATTGCCTGAGGCTATTCACAGCCTATGTCCTCTCTCCCCTGGCTGGTTTGTAGCTGTGCACTGTGTCCTACTTGCCTAGACTGCAGCTAGGAGCACTTAATGTTCCCCTCTGGATGAAACGGGCAAGAAGTGTGTCATCCTTCTGGAGAGAATCCACCAGGATTCTCCTGGAGTAGCATCCTTGGCCATATGTGAAGGGTATTGAGAACTCAGGCTGTTGGGAATGCCAGTAGCCCCTGCAGAACGGAAAGAGGTGCTGAGGTCTGGTGTGCTGTACCTTTGGGGCAGTTGCGTTCCTCCTCAGCCCAAGCAATAGCAGCCAAAGGAGGCAGAGGTGAGATTACAGGACCAAGTTGGCTGCTTCTGCCCTGAAGAGATGGTATTCCTTTCACACTCCACCTAGTACTTGACTATGAAACAGGTCTGTGCTGGCAGCAAGTTTGTAAAAGCATCACCTCATTCCTTACGTGACTGAAACATCAGGGCCCAAGCATTTGCTTGCTGTATTGCTGAGTTACTACTCTTGAGACTTTGGTGCTAGTTTAGCAGGTAGACAGTACAGCTGACCATGACTTCTCCCTCAGTAGTTAGTATAGTTGCTCCTGTGTATCTTCAGCTATGGTGATTTGCTCTTGTTACCTGTGCTTGAGTGATGTTTAAAGTACAGGATGTTGCCAAAATGTCATTAAAGTGAAGTTCCCAGAAACGTAACTAGCAGCTGGTCCTTCTTTGTTTGCTTACATGTCACTCTGAAACAAGCCTGCACAGGAGACTGGCAACAACAGGGATTGCTAATTCTACCTGGATGCCATTCTGCCTTGCTTTATCTTCCCTAGCCCATCAACTGTTTATTCTGTCACTGGGGAGGATGTAAAGTGGTGGAAAGATGTGGCTGGATAGAAATGCAGAATCTGCATGCTTGCAGGAGGATACTCGTGAAAGCTGAGACCTTAAAGCAGATCGATGAAACCACAGTGTGGGTCCTACTGAGAATTAAATGCTTTTGGAAATGAGTAAAGGTAAACCAATCTAAAGGTACTTTAATTCCCAAGAAGTCCATAAGGGGAGTTCAGAGAGGTTTCTTTAAATGCACTGAATTCATACCTTCAACTGAGATTCAGTCTTCCCTGTGTGGTTGTACAGGCAGTCTCTTAAAGATACCTTTAGGCTTGTTTGGACTGTCTCCAAGGATGGAGGTATGAATGAGCCGCTGTAGTTCTACAAGTCACCATGTGTTTGTTACCTGAGCTTCAGCATGATGTTTGTGCCTTGAACCTTTAACCAGGGCCTCAGCTGACAGTACTGTGATTTATACTATACCTGTAGGAGGCTGAAACTTTACATGCAGCTAGTGCTGTGACCCAGCTGGTACAGGTAACCTGTTTATGTGCCAGAGCTCTAAAACAAACCCAAACCTGTTTTTTTTTTCCCACCTGATTATTGTATTTGTGCTTAGATGTATTCAGCCATACCCCAATCAGTTTCATGGCATCCTTACTAAGCATACCACACCCCAAATTCTTTATAGACCACAATGTAGTTCTGACCTTCCCCAGACTGCCACCTCTTCCTTTACTGGGAGCAGAATAAGGGGTGTTTTGCTGCTGGGTACTTACTTCTGTAGGATAACTTGTTTTAGTTCCTCGTGGTTGGGTGCCCTGCGGGGCCGTGCCAGTTCCTGGGAGGAGACAAGGCATGATTACATGAGCAGCACAACACCTGGGGTGTACAGCTACCCCCTCTGCTAGCTCGGTGGGCCCAGCAGCTGGTGGAGCACTCCAGCCCCTATGAAAAGTGGGGTACCAGCCACAGCTCTGCTGTGGTGCTGGCTTGGCTGTGGGCACAGCCTGTATGCAGAGAGCCAAGGGAGGGAGAGGGGCTGTTGCTCTGGGTCATCCTCCTGACTCATTGGGCAGAAAGTTCCTGCAGTCAAAGCTTCTGCTTGCAGCAGACAGCTGGGACACCTGTGTATCCCTGAGATCTGCCCTGTTGCCACCCAGCTCAGAGTGCAGTACCTTCACACTCACACCTGCTGGGCCAATTTCCACCTTCTCCTCCACAATTAATTGCACTGCCTCCTCCAAGTTCCCCAAGGCCATGGCAAGTGCCTTCTCTGCCTGGCTCATGGTACAGGCTGGGAACATCTCCAGTAGCAGCTCCACCCCATCCTTCAGGTCATCGCCTTCCTAGTTGAAGCAAGAGACAAGAGGTAAGTTGGGGATACGGCAAGGAGAGGGCTATTGAAAAAGGCCTCTCTGGTTTTGCATTGTCAGGAAATTCAGCTTGCTCTTAGCTGAAAGCTCTCCTCCCTTACAAGCATGACTAAATCCCATTCCTGAAGCTAACAGGGGATTGTATCTGCAAGGGCAAAGCATCACTCTTCCTTAATCTCCCTCTGTATTTCAACTTTTTTTTAAAGTAGGGCTGCTGTGAACTGTCTTACCTGTGTGGCCATGCCATGTGTCTCTTTAGGAGTGAGCTTTCTGGACACTGGTGTGAATGCTTGAGCTCCCACTCACCTTGTGAAGTTACATGTGCTTCGATCAGAAAGGGAAGGGACTGCTAAACAGCAGCCTGCGGCTACATCAGAAAGAAGCACAGCAGCACCATTTGCTAGAAGGCTGTTGACAGAACGACTGTGCTGCAGAGCAGGAAGAGATCAGTACTGGAGAAGCAGCAAGCAGAGCATGGGGGAAGGAAGTGGGGGAGATCTGCCGGGTGCTGCAATGCATGTAGCATGGGTCATGCTGAACGGTGCTGCAGGATCAGGACCGCTGGACCAATGACTCGGTGCTGTATGGCTCAGTGTGCAGCACAGGTCACCGAGGCTGGGACTGACACCCAGATGTGACTGCTTCCTGTGCAGACACTGCACGATAGCTGGGGAGAGAAATGGTGATCCAGCTCAAACTGTGGAGTGAGGCTAGGGGAACGGGATGGAGTCTGGCTAGTGCTGCAGAGGCATCCCCACAGTGCTGCTGTGGGATCTCTGAGGGCACTGGGACAGGCTCAACCATGGCTCTGGCTCATCCTGTGGCTGGAAAGGATGAGCCAGCACCATGGCTCACGCTCTTCTGTCAGCACATAATTTTCTTTTTCCACTTCTTACTGACACAGTCTTGCTCAGGCCATACAATGGAGGAGATGACAGATGCCAGTGATGCTGTGTCACAGCCTATGCTGTGGTTCCTTCCAGAGCCATAAAATGCCCTCAGGTGGTTCCGGTAGCCTAGTGCTGGGTGACTGTCCCCAGTGCTCCTGCTCTCCTGCAGGGTGCTCATACCTGGGCCCTGGCTCCGTCTGTTGGAGTGTACAGCCTTTCCCCATTGCAGGCTCCAGCTCCAGGCTCCCGGCCCTTGGTCAGGTCTGCAGAGGGTGCTTCACTCCCACTTTCCACAGTCTTTTGGGTAGGTTTTTCTTAAAGACATAGTGATATCTCCTGAGGAACAGTCCCACTAAGGCTAGATCTCTGTGCTTTCTGTTGGCATTATATTGCTAGTGCATTGTGTGCCAAAGCAAATCCCTTCTTAAGTGACAAAACTGGGAAGAACTACTGTTCCTCTTGCCCTCAGCAGGGACAGCAGCAGCTCTGCTCACACTGACCTGCAGGGAAGTAGTGCTAGCGCACGCTACAGTGCCCAAGCACAGCATTTCCAGTCCTTACTGGTGTGGGCCGCTTGCAAATTCAATTCTACCTGCCAATTTTCAGTCCTCTAGCACTTTGGCTGTGGATACTTACGGTATTTCTGTTGCAATTCTAAGAATTCCCTGGTGTTTGCTCTAACTCTGAACAAAGGTGTGGTTTTGATTTTAAATTTGGGAATACACTTGGCTAGTCCCCAAGATGTATGTGAGCCAGCACATCCTGTGCTCAGGTTACTCTGATGCATCTCTCTTTACAGGCTCTTTCTGTGTCACTAAGAATTATCATTTCACCTCTGTTCTGTCCTTTCTAAAACTGGGATGGTGTTGTCCTTCCACACTCTGGCTGTATCAGGATCCTCAAAGAGTAGGATGCAGGTGACCAGAGCAGATTTTGTCAAGGTCAAGAAAACAGCACGATAAGACAGGACTGTCTGTTCCACTCTGTGTAGCCTTCTGGCAAGACACCAGTGATGCTGCTGGATAAGCAAAACCCAGACTGGTGTGTCCTGAAAGGTTTAATATACAGGCACTTAACCTGTCTTTTCTTTAGAGGGAAATACCTTTGGGGCTGATTAATACAACAGTCCAGCTGATCTGTGAATACTGAGGTTAGAAAGGGCCATTGAGATAGACTAGTCTTCTGCAGTCCTGCACAGTGCAGTCCAGAGCACTCATTGCTGATTTTGCATCCATGCCAGGGTTCATGGGTGAACAGAAAGTGAGGTTTGAGAACGCTCAAAGTTGAGAAGTGATACACTTAATCAGCTGAATTCTCTATTTGATGATGCACCTGACACGGGCTGCCCAGTGGTAGTGTTGCTTAGGCAGATGGCTATCAGAGGCAGGCAGAAATTCTCATGTTCAGAATTAATTTACAGTAGAATTTCAACAAACAGCCCTGTATCTGCTATTTCTTCCTTATTACTCTGGATCTGATCTCAACAGAGGTGTTTGGAGACCTGATCAAGTGTTTTTCATCCCAGTATGTCTTGGACAGTATTCCATATGACTCAAACCTCCCACCTGTTGATATCAAAAACCTGACTGAACATTAAAAAGAAAAATAAGTCAATCAATTTGGGCTACCTTATGAGATCCTAACTGTGGCAAACAAGATTGTATTTTATCCTGTGACATTGCTCAACTCCAAACGCTAAGGCTAAAAACATGTGCAGAATATACCTTCTTGTGCTGAATTTGTCTGTGTAACTCACCTTTGTTACGAGCCTCACCAAGCCTTTCTGAGAGGGAGAACATCATTTCACAAACATCCTCACTGCGAAAGATAGAAGCTGCATAATTAGTGTGAGGAATAAAAGCAGTAGCCTATCTTACTTGGCTACCTCTTTATAGAAATACAAAGCTTGATAGAAAGCCCAATAAAATAAACTGGTATTTCAGACAGGCAAGGACCTACTTGCAAGCTATACTGGGATTAGCATCTGTGTATTCAGGCAAACACTGAATTAATCACAGTGGCACAGGTTTGGTGCTAACACATCTTCAACTGGGTGTAACAAAAGAATTTATGCTACTGAGGGGCTTGGGTCCACGCCCCCAGTGCATGGCATGCACATACAAAGAAGTAACATTCACATACCTGTGGATTTCTGCAAAACCAGGGATATACGCCTCCATCATTTCCACAAAGGTGTCCATGTCAAAAGTCTCCTCAGAGGACTCTGGTGAGCCCAGCTCTTCCAGGACACCAGTGATATAAGAGAAGAAAACATCATCCATCCCACTGGAGACAGAGAGAACACAGGACATGGCAGCAGGGTCAACAGGCCCATTTTTTCTCTCTCTTTCTCTCCATCCCCTTTCCCCCTAACCTCGTGTCTTTCTAACAGACCTGCAGAAGGACGTATGTGGACTGCATCTTACAGCCAGATCCCACCAGTAAAGCCAGGTAGCAGGCGGTCAGTACCTAAGTGGGAAGCATTTACAGATGAAATGCTGCATGCCTTCCTGCTTCCTGGGGAGCACTGAATGAAAGCCCCAGCGTGGGCCCAGAGGCTGTGCTCCTGTAGGTGCTTCAGCTGAGCTAACCAAAATATTCCAAGTGCTCAAACCCTGACTTTTCTATGCTGACTGGTGTTTCAGATGAGGGCATCATATTCTGTCAAGTTGCAATTTCTATGGGATGCAGTGTTCTCTGCTTACTGCTCTCTACATCTGTGTCGCTGCTGCCACCGGCTACAAAACAGCTGCTGTGTTCCAACCTCAAGGTGGCTGTATTTCCGCATGCAGACAGAGTTCAAAATAGGGAGAGCTCAGACATAGTATTATATGGCTCAGAAAGCCCTTTGGGGGCAATGTGGAATAAAGGGAATCCCATATTCTAATGTGTATTACCGGACAGGAAATTAATCATCTTGGTCGTCAAAGAAATGACATTGCTAGATTGCAATGCTAAACAATAGTCGTTCAAGCATTCCCATCAGAGCCTGTGCAAATTACCTGCATCTGACTTAAGGAAAAGCAAAGCAAAGTACAGGAAAGCTACAGACTTCAGTATAATGTGCAGAGGGGCAATTAATGCAGAGCTCAAGCTAGAATGGTGATATTGGATGTTCCTATCTGAACATACCTGAGGTCTGCTGTAGGCATGTGGGACTGGATGAAGCGTGTCAGTGTGTCTTGAATGATTCTTTCAAGCTCCATGTCTCTCTAAACCTTTTTCACTAAAAAAAGAGGAGGAAACAGAAAACTCCATGTAATTTCAAACCCAAGAAGTAGATCAAAATATCAACAAGATCAAAAGCATGGAATAGGCAAGTGACTCTTCCCATGAGAACAATTCACAAACTCCTCCAATATGTCTTGTCATCGCTGGGTAACAGTAGACAAAGACACCAACAAAAAGCAGCAGCATGAGGATCCACTGGAGAAAACAGCTCTGAGCAGCCTAGTATCTTGGGCCTCTCCTGCTCATGTTGATGCTGGCAGTAGGCAAGGTGTACTGTACATTTAAAATGTCCCCTCCCAGAAGCAAAGCTGGGAATGCAGATGCGTCCAGCTGCAGGACCTCAGAGGTACCTCCTGAGCTGGAATGATGTGCTGTCCAGCAAGGAAGCAGCGGGCAGTGAGTCTGCATGCTCAGTGCAGAAAGGGGTGGACCTTCCAGCTAAGAGCATTCACAGTGATGCTTGGACTCAGGAACGAGTGGGAGAAAGGGTAATGTCTCCTAAATAAAGGGTGACCTAGAGCGTATTTTACAGGGAAATACCACACAGGGCACAGACAACTAGTCTGCCAGCCAAAATATCAAAAGGTCTCCAGGTCAGGCATGGACTGCCAGTGGAATCCTGCCCAAACAGGAGCCTGTTGTTGTGCTCGGTAAATGAGCCATTCTGCAGTTGATGCAGCTGCAACAAGGGGCGCTTGATAACCCAAAACTCAGGGGAGTTCTAAGAATCACAGAGCTCCTACAGAAGCAATGGCAGATTGGGCCTGCCCACAGCCCTCCCTCAGCTCTCCCTCAGCTGTCAGTACTGGTCCTGGACTGAATTGGGCAGAGAAAAACCATTCCTTAACCCTTCCTTCCCCCTGGGGTCTACAAAGGTGCTGGGTGAGCAAGCTCCTACTGTAAGCACAGAGTTATTCCAAGGAAGGAAACTAACCCTGCATATAGAGAAACTAATGTGGTCATTGGCCAGAGAGCTTCCAAAGGTCATCACGCTCCCACCACTGCAGCTCCCCCACTCCAACCACAGCAGGACCTGACCAGGTCTGTTTGACACAGAACTCGTGGAGCAGTCGCGTGGGTTGCTGAGAGACAATTCCCATGTTCCCATGGGAATCAAAAAGGTTTGCATTTCCTGAGGTGAGACTTCCAGAGCTAGCAGGATATAAACAGAACCACCCCACAGTACTCAGTACTGGTCCTGCAAGACTTAGACAGAACCAAAGTCCAGGAGCCTGCAGGTGGGTCCATCTGCAGCCTCGGGGCCCATTCAAGCTCTGCACTGTGCTTGGCCACCACTGCAGGTGCCAAGAGCACACATGCACTCCTCTATGTCCGGCCAGAGGAGCACACCCAAGTCAGCCAGACCTGCCCCTGGATATGGTCACTCTATAGGCTGTAGGGATTTGACTCTCGATATTGAGGGAGAAAGCTGTGACACAGGTTTGTGCAAAAGTGCTCTGCTGGATACACGGCATCCCACATTGCATCTCCCTGCAGTGATTCCCCACCAAATATTCTGTGCTCTTCTGCTCTTCAGGGCTTTGACCCAATACAGGTTTTGATATCTGAAGGACCATCTCTTCCTGAATCCCTGTGTCTGTGCCATTCCCTTGCAGCAGTAGGGAGACAAGTATGGAAAGAACAGCAGAGGGACATGAACAGTGAGACATACTCATATAGCAGAACTGCCCCAATTTTCACTGTGTTCAAAGCTAAACACAAAAGCCATCTAATCATCTACACTTTCCTGCAGCTACTATTAGTATCAACCCTCCCACTGATCTAGAGCCAGTAACTAAAAAAGAAAACAAACCTTCTTTACATGTACCTCTCACCTGGGAGGAAATGAGCAATGAGTTAAAAATGCCGTACCACTATATGTACCAACATACATGTATTCCAACACAGCACATACAGAAACAGCCAGAGGAAGGCAACATACACGCATAAAGGATTATTTGCTGTTGCTGTCTTAAGCTAAAAAATTTCTATGACTCCTGTAATTTAAATTAGAAAAAACCCATTTCACAGCATTAAAGGAAAACAAGAGTCCAAACTTTTTCAGGTAGGAGCTCTACACACAAGCATCCAAGTGAGCTCCTGAGCTGCTTTTATTTTTCAGCCTCACAAGGATCCTTGGTTTGCATTTTTCTCACTTTTGCAGATGTCACAGCCTGCAAGTATGGAAGCTGGCTGTAAAAACAACCATGTGCAAAACTGCCTTCCCGCTGCCCATTTGTTGTTTCTGTGTTTTGTGTGTTCTCTAGTGGTGTGACAGAACCTAGTTTATCTTTGTCATCTTTGCAATATACCCAGAAAAAGGGGTGAGCTTTGTTCTATCCTTCTCAAACGTCAAAAAGCCAATTAAAAGATTGTGAATCTCACAGTTGGCAAGAATACTGTCCTAAGCAGCACGTTTTCCCCCCATTTTAAGCTGAATCTGCAAATTCTAGCAACCAGAAAGCCCCCTGAACTTGTAAGTACAAGAAAAGCAATTTTTTTTTACAGAAATCAGTGGTGGGAAATCAACATATAGCAGTCAGAATGTTCTGATAACAGTCATTACTATCAAGAAGAATGTTTATTTCCTTCTTACTCAGTCTTTGTGACATCTTGGGAACTGGAAGTCTAAAAAGATTTTGTTTGTTTCCATGAAACAGGTCAAAATTCTGTAAGAGATAACAGTATAGTAACCAAAAGCTTTTCCTGACAACCCAATTACCTGAACAACAGAGCACAATTCACCATGTCAAAAGCACTTTTGTGAGGTCCATAAATTAGCTGCTGGTAATTTATTCTGATCAATACACCAGGCAAAGTCACTCATCTCCTTAATCAATGGCACTTGCAGGCAAGTGTCAGACTAGGACAAGAGGAACACAATAAAAAATAATTCAGCAACAGGAGTATTGTAGCTACGGCCAGTCACTAACTGGTCTTGAATCCATACCCCAACCTCTGCCAACTACAAGAAATGCTGGTGTGAAGTGCTTGAAAATACTCAGGTATTTTCCCATGGAATTACCATGCTGTGTATCTGAACAAAAGCTATTTCATTGTGTCTATGAGAGGAAAGAAAGCAGCAGGTTTTAACCACTGGATATAAATTCTGTCATCTCAGACAATCCATCCACCAGCACACTTGGATTTAAGGTTTACATCCAGAGAAAGCAAGTTGCCACCTTTAGCCTGCCTTTGAAGAAAGGAAACCCTTTAAATGACAAAAGCAGTCTTACATTGAAGGACAGAAAATAGGTATGTGATCAAGTATTATTTCAAGGGTGAGCCATTGCCCTTTCACCTGAAGAACCCATCTCTGCTCCTATAAAACCAGAGGCACCCAGAGAGACAAATGCACTTGCATTTGGTCATTTAGTGCCATGGGGGAAAGGTTTTATTCCCCAGTAAACAGTCCTTACAAAACTTAACATCCAGGGGATCTGTAGTGCACAAGGGTCTTGATTGAACGAGGCTTGTGGAAGACAAGTCCTGAAGGTCTCTGGCCTTTCAGATTTGACAGGTATTTTCTTGAAATAGAGGGAGCTGATTAAAAGCCTATGTGCAAACATTTTAAAATGGATTCTTCAAGCAATAAACTGATATTGCTGCATATTCCTCCCCACACAGCCAAGTTTAGAATTATATAACCCAGGATACCAAAACACCTTATGCATTATACTTTCAAATGCCACATTTTTTTCTAGTGATGACCTGCAATAGTTAAGGGGGAGATTTACTAGAAGAGCTTATCCTATACGCAGTTTTGTGGAGGAGTGATTTATAATGCATAGAATGATCTAAAACCCAAAGGCAGGTGAAATCACTCTCCTGAGAGTTCAATTTTATTGAAGAGGTGTTAGCATCATTTTAAACTTCCAGCCATAATTGCAACGTGGATTTTAAGATCACTTCAGTAGTTGTCAGCTGATTCAAACATATCTATGAAAGTCCTTCCGCATTTCTTGTCATTATAATGTAGGCTCTGTTTAACATGTTACACAGTAGCTATTTTTTAAAACATATGGTCAAGAAATGGTATTCCTATTGCTCTGCCCTCAGCTACAGCCTCACAGTTTTGTGCTGTCAGCACAAGAGACCTTCAACCCTTGGAAATCCCTGCCACTTTTCAGACTGTCTTTGAACACCGGAGTTTATTACTAAAGAGCGAGCAGTGGAGCTCTGCATGGCATCTCGTTAAGACAGGTTTGGTTTGAAATACCAGGAGTGCTTACTTGACCCACATAATATCGCGTGGTATACATATTTCCTCACCTCAGGCAGAGAAAAGTGGTATCAGTTCTCAAAATGTGAATGTGAGAATTATTCACTTTCTGTACTAGATACTTTGGCCAGCACTTCAACAGTTTGCCACCCTACTGCCTGTCTTGAGAACCTAGTAATCTTCACCTTGCATTTTCCTTCCTAACATGTTAATGTCAAATTTGTTGTGGTTTTTTTTTTTTTGTGTGGGTTTTTTTTTTTTTGCAAAACAGCTGCAGAAATAATACCCCTCTAAAAGTACCATTATCCTGGTGGTGTCTGAAATATCTACTTAAGCTACATTTGCTACATTCAAGAAAATATGGCTTCCTTTTGTACAATTCATATGAATCTTCCTTCTGTAAAAAAAAAAAAAAAAAAGGTGAAAATCTGAAATGTTTGCATACAGCTAGATCATTTCTGAAGGCTCTTTCAACTCAAATTTCAGTAATCATTCTCAAATGGTCAATGTGATGGGACAGGAAAGATTGATTGTGTCTTGGACTTTATATTAACAAGACAGACTTGAGAGCAATTTAGGAAAATGTTTCTGAGCTAAGAGAAACTGCCATTCAGATGTATATCAACTTTTATGAGATCATAAATTTGCCTACCAATGACTTGAGGTTTCTGCAAGTGGAAGGAGATGGGTGTTGTATGCCTTGGATGTTTCTCAGAACAGGTTAGAGAAAGTTTAGCTAAATCTGATCTAGCCGAGGGATTGACTAAAACACCTGGAGAAGGTTCCTTTAGCTCAAGTTTCAGTAATTATTCTTAAGTAAGTGATGGGACAGGGATGGTTCACTGTGCTCTCTGAAAACTTGTTATGAGAAAGCACAGAGCATGTTTCATGCAGCTCTGTGTGCATGTGCCTGTGTGTGGGGAAGTGTGGATCCCTGGAATAAGGAGCTCTCAGTGTAGCCTGTGACATACAGTCTCAGAGGAAATGTCTCAAAGACAGATCTGCAGGACAGAGAGCAAGATGTGGCTATATTCCACTGAACTTTGCCTCCTGCAACTTTGCTGGCTGAAAATAAAACTTTCCAGGCTGAGTAGCACCTTACAGACGTAGTTTCAGTGCTCTCATTTTTTGTTTTCTTGTTAAAGAAGTCCCTGAAAGGACTTTCACGCTGTGGTTGCTATGGGAAAGCAGGCTGAGGTCACTGTGCACATTAACACTATTAACTGCTTAATGCTCTAACATTAAAAGAAGGCTTTTGTTAATAACTTAATTCCCTTAAATTACAATAATAGAAGATAGTAATGCCAGTTGCCACACTCCTTCCCTCCCCCGCCATCTACGCTGGACGGCTGCACTTGGGTGGTGCTGGGCTGATGCAGTGCCCTTACCTGAGCAGTAGTGCCTGTGCGAGGACCTCGGCTCACGGCCGGTGTTCACGAAATCACGTCTGTGCCTGCCGAAGTCGACGGTTCACCCTATGACTGCTTGGGCCAAGCCATGAACGAGGGAGTCCTTTATGGGGAAGGAAAGATGAGTTAGCTGGAGTGGGAGCACAACAGAATGTTTCTCTGTACGTGGGTGTCTTTATGCTTTATGTCACTTGTGACTGTTTCCCCTAATGCAAACGGTACAGCTTTACCCCTTAGAATAAAAAGTACTATGTGAAGGGCTGACTTGGATGTGAGAATAGCGTACCTGTCAGCCTTCAAATTCAGTGTCGCCTTGGGATGGTTTTCAACATTTACAGTTTCTGTAGCAAGGCCTCTGAACATCACCAAAGTATTCCAAAAGCACCGGTGGCCTCATCGCCCCCGCTTGCTTCTGGTGGCTTTAAGGAGAGGCCGGAAGGTGCCCGTGGGGTTTCCCTGCTGCGGGCTCGTGGCACATCGCCAGGGCCAACGCACCGCCGAGCCCCACGCCGGGTCAGCGCCCGGTGTTTATCCCGAGCTGTAATACCGCACCCAACCACTGGCCGAGCAACTTCGGCGCGTTACTTATTTTCGCCGCGTCCGCTCCCCTGCGCTAGCAGACAAGGATTATCCCGGGGGTGGACTTGACAGGATTTGGCAACAGAGTGCCCGAAGCAGACCACGCGCGGCCTGAGCCCCACGCCACCGCCACGCCCCTCGCTGGGGCTGAATTCCCACGACGCTTGCAACAACGCGTCTCCGCACGCTGCAGACGGCTGCGCGGTCACATCGCCCTGCCCTCGGCCTGCGGGCGCCTCCGACCCCCCGGTCCTTCTCCCCGGGCGCCTGCCGGCGCCCCCGCGCGTTGCCGGCCGCGGAATTAAGCCAAACACCCGGATTTCTGAGGCTCCCGCGGGGACGCCGGCCGCGGCGGTGACCGGGGGGTGCGGGCGGGCTCCTCGCAGCCCGCTGGCAGCGGTGCCCCCGAGGCGGCCGCCGGTGCCCCGGTCCCTGCCCGCCGGGGGGGGGGGGGAGAGAGGGGGGGGCAGGGGGTCACCTGATCGCCCGCGCGCCCCCGCCGCGGCCTCGCTCCCTCCCGGCGCAGGTCCCGCGCGGCGCGGTTGAAAGCGTCACGTGGCCGCGCCCGCAGCCAGTCATAGAGGCGGGCGCGGGAGGGTAGAGCGGCTTCGTGCGGGCACGCTCCCCGCGCCGCCATCTTGGTTGTGGGCAGGTGCAGCAAGGCGCCCCCGGGCGGCCCGAGGCGGGGGCCCGGGAGCCCCGGCCAGGGCCCCATGGCAAACGGGGTACGGGGCAGCAGCTGGGGCGAAGACAGGGGAAGGAAAACGCTTACACAGGGTGGCAGCCGTGAGCACGCCCAAGCCTTGGTGGTACAGAAGTGTCTTTGTGAGGCCCGGCAACATGGTGGCGCCTTGCGGAGTCACCTTGAAAAACACTTAAGTGGAATTCTCCTCCCTGCCAAGTACAAGAGGCACGTTCCCTGATGAAAATAGCGCATTTTCAAGTGTTTGGGTAAAGCTGCCCTGTTCTTTGGGGTGATTCTCCCGAGATTTGTCAGGTGGAAGCACCGCCTGGGGGATGTTCCCCAAGCTGCTGTCTCTGCAGAAGCCGGGACCTGTATGCAGAGTCTCCTGACTCCCTTTCCTCTTCTGCCCTTAGCCTCCCGGCTCCACCCAGCGCATGACAAGCTGCTGCATATTTTTTTTTTCTAGCAATCTGGAGGACTGCTGTACATTAGGGTGGCCTCGGGCTCTTTAGAGAAGAGCCAGGCCGCGGGGCAGGACTGCAGCTTTTGCCCTGCTCGTTGGCTGCAGCCCCCCGGTCAGGTGAGCTGCTTGTTGATTTACTTGGTTCTGACAACGACAGTAGGCGCTTCCTGGAGCGGTTTTGGAGGAGCAATTCTGTGCTGCCAGGTGCTTCTCCTTCACAGAAGTCTTAAAGCAGCAAGGCATAGTTATTCTCCAACTCATGCTCTTCAGTAATGTGTTGCTAAATACCAAACAAATGAGCCTGATCCTGCCTTTGGCGGTACCAGGAAAAATCCGGAGTAATGCCAGCTGGTTAGAGAACATCACTCCACACTCACTCTAGTGTCATTAAGAGCAGCGTCTGTTTCCATTGTTTATTTCCATTTAAATGTATATACACTCCTCCTTTGACGTTATATGAATGGACTTTATTGTAGGGGTATTCACTATCTTTGAATTCTTCTGCTTTCGACTGTTCTTTGCTGTGCTTAGCCATACATTAACTGAAACTAATCAACTATGCTACATTATCCGTCCACTGATTTATTGTTTTACCTTAGTTTGGGAAACAGTTTGAAAATCCCCCAAGAAACCTCCTGTTTCTAGGATGGGTTTCAACTTGTGTGACCCCACTTTATAAAGGACATGATGAAAATGCAGCTCCTTCTGGAACAGGTGTGGGGTAGAAATTGCATTACATCACAGTGAAATGGAAGAAGGGAATTTTTGAGGAAAATAAAGCAGCACATGTAAAGCCCCTAGAAATGATCAGTCATTAAAGCTAAGAGAAACAATTGCAGTTACCTTTTCTGACCTAACTTTCATTGATTCTTGACTGAACTAGAACAGAACTTCCCAAACTAATTTATGTTATGAGAGCATATGAGGTTCTACCAGCTTTTTCCACAGGTGGTTCATGGCACCCTATTTGTCAGCAGAATTTAAGGATTTATTTATTTTCCCTCAGTCTGCTTTGTAGTTTCCTTGACTTGCTTGGAAACCTCCCATGAGAAATTTTGAGAGTTCTCAGATGTCATCAGTTCAGACAATTTGTGAATCCTTACAAATCCTATGATTTGTAAATCATAGGTTTCAGAACAACAACAGACAGGACCTCTGGTTTTTTTTCTATACTACAAATACTTTGCAGTTGACCATCAACCTGGCTGATGTCAGGCAGTCTGTCTGTCCTGGGGGTAATGAAGGGAGGAAAAAACTACATTGGGATTTGAAGGAAAGGTCTGACAAAATGTGAGTTAAAATGCCATTAAGATTCTCTTACAACTACTTAGACTTCTCCCTTTTAGCATGTTTTGCTGCAATTTGATATTTCACTTTCTCACCTTACTCTAATCCAAAATGATATGAGGGCAGTTCCTTTTTTTTTTTTTTTTTTTTTCTCTCCACTGTGTACACTAATGGAAGCTGGCCAGTATTGTAGTACTGGTTATAGATACTGTAACAAATATGGCATCTAATAGCTCCCCAATTTAAAGTTAAATTCAAAGCATTTTAACCTAAAGCTCAACAAAAACTCCACAGGGATTCCCTATACACACACACAAAACACACCCTTTACAGAGGGTCTAGGCGGAAGGGAGCAACAGCACAGGAAATTGTTCTGTGAGAGCACTTTGACTTGTCAGTCACAGGCTGCTGCAAACCAGGGAGGTTAACACACCATCTAATTATTTGATGGGATTCATATTCTGTCACAAGCATGATGAATAATGCAAGTGTGTTGAATCAAGCCAGAGGAAAATTGTTCCTTCTCCAGCTTATTATTAACTCCTTGTTGTATAATGTACTTGAAATAACTTTGTTCTGTGGCATTTTAATATGTGGGTGGATGATATTTGTATGTGAGTAATTCTAACTGTTACACGTGCTCCTTTTTCATATTTTAATTGAAATTAGAGAACAAAAAAGTATATTTTCCACCTGTTTTTTTCCCCATTTAATGCAGTCATGTTTCCTGCAATGGGCATTCTGCAGTTTTTTCTACTCTAGCTTTGAAAAGCTCCAGCAATGGAGCTTAATCTGAAGAAAGGAGCTCATTAGTGGGATGTGTTTCTTGATATTCTGGTTTTATTTCTTATTTTTTTTAGTTAATCATATCACATGTTCATATATGTCCCTGACACTGTTCAAAATATTTTCTCTTCCTTGTTAAATGTAGATGTCTGCTTTTTTTTCTTACTAAACTAAACTGCATTTTAGTTGTAATTTATCTTCAGTCCTCTACAGAGGATTTAGAATAAGTGTATAGAGATTTAGAATAAGTCCATTTTGAGAATGGTCTTTTTTGTCTTTTTTTTTTTTTTTTTTTTTAATAGCAATGCGTGTTCAATCTCAAAGCTGTACAGAAATTTAATGAATTTCTGTACAGCTTTGAGATTGAACACGTACTGTACACCCCTTTGAAAGCACACACCGCTCCCAGAATTTCTGCTCCAGCCAAAGGAGATTACAACTTTCAAAGTCCAATTTTGCGGCAACTTCGGAGGACTGCTGCTTTTCAGGACAACGAGCAAGACTGGGGTCCTGGAGCCCTCTGCTGGGTGTGCTATAGAAGGCAGATAACTGAAAGCTTAAGTCATTAAACTCTGGAAATGCTATTGCCATGCTCCCATATTTCTTTCGCAGTTGATTACAAATGTGCTTAATTTGAAATCCACAAGATGTTTCTTTCTGTTGCTTCTGGGAAAACGCACATTACAGTTTTAGAGTCTTACAGGTAAATTAATTTGCATCTTGAGGTTACAATTAGATTTATTAGAGACTTTTTGTCTTTACTCTTCTTTGGTAACAGGAAGGTTCTATGTGAATATTTCCTTGGTTCTTTTTGTTATTCTTTGCCTCCTCTTATTTAGTGCTACATGTACATCTTATCACAGCTCAAAAGTCTTGTAGTCAAATAACAGACAATTCTGAGGTTGTCTGTGGTAAACGAATCTGTTTTGAACCTGTATTGTGATTTATTTAGCTTTTTAGTGTTCACAGGTATAAAAGCTTTTTTTGTGTGTGTGTGACAGAAAAATGAGCACTTTATCTAAAAATAAATAGCAAAGTACGTGAATAATAAGTAAATGAATAGTTTGTCTGTCCTCTTTCTGTCAGGGAACTCACTATGCTTTACATTCATGTCTTATAATTTTATATACAGTAGGCTGGAGCCTACTGAAAGATGACATGTAAGATGACATGTATTTCCAAAAGTCTCAGTATGAGTCTGTGGAAGAACCAGAAAAAGGAATCCAGAATTTGTGTTCCCTGACTCATCCTACAGTTAGAAGTATGCTACTTAAGAGCATTTTTGAGAATGTGAAATAAACAAAGTAATTGGGGAACAAAGGGTTTTTTCATTCTCTGATTACAACATGTTGAGCAAATCTAATCTATCAGGGACCAGGGTGTCTTGAGCTGCTCATTCGATTTGGCCAACTGTAAAGGAGCAGTAAGAAGATGATGCTGAAGAGCCTCGAGGAGGCTTTTGTTCTGCAAAAGGCCCTTGATGCTGTTACATAGGATGATGATGTACTTAAGCTAGTGGAAAAAGTAATTCTGAAGTTGGTGGTAGTTATAGCAAAAAGAACTTCCCAGCCAATAATGTCAGATGATCCCACAGCTAGGAGGAGTTTTTAGACTGCAGAATATTTGGACATGGTGTCCTGGGTGCAGGTCTTGTAAATGCTGCGTGCTCTACATTGGACAGCTTTTCTGAGTTTCTTGTAGGTGTAGCTAGTTAGAGTTCAGTAATACGCTGAGTCTTAGTCATTGCATATGACTCTCACAATGCACACTTTTCATTTTATTTTTTGACAAGTGTGATACAAGTCTTTCTCAGTACTCTTTCTAGCCTTGGACAACAGTCTGCTACCAATGGATGTTGTGTTGTTCTGAAGCAACTCATGTTTGCAGCATCAAGACTGTTGTGATTTCTTGCATGTTGCCTGTGAATGCAGACCCTACTGTCAAAAAGAACTTCCTGACCCTAGAATACATCTTCTCAGCCATGTGCCAATGTAGATATTGAACAGTTTGCCAGGCCAAGGTCAAACTG